GGGGGGGGGGGGGGGGGCCCCCCCCCACCCCCCAATTTGCAAGCACAATGCTCGCATGATGGGTTTCCAAAAAAATGACATGCTTTTGAAGCAAGCTTGCACTGCACACAAAGCGGGGGTGCTCGCAGGATGGGCTTCAAAACATCTCATATGCTCTGAAGAAAGCTTGCGCGGCTGGTGGGGTTGGCGGGGCGGAGCCCCCGATTTACTGCCTGTGATTTGCTGTCATCTGTGTGAGGCAGCAAGATAAACGATTTGTTGCCTGTGATTTGCTGGTGTCTGTGTGAGGCATGGCAAGATGCACGGCTTGTTGCCTGTGATTTGCTCGTATCTGTATGACAAATCACACGCAACAAACCGCACATCGATACCAGCGAATCACTGGCAATAAATCGTACATCTTGCCATCCCTAGACAGTTTCCAGCAAATCACAGGCAACAAATCGTACAGCACCAACAGACCCGGGGACCAGGAGACCATCAAACAAAAAGTCCCCCCCCCCCCCCCCATCCCCCTCCCCCCCCCCTCCCCCCCCAGAAAACTAGAAGTCCTGAAAAACGAAGGTCCTCCGATACTCTGTGGTTGGGCACTCCAGGGATTCTCTGGGCATACCCTGAGGTTGGGCTCTCCAGGAATTCTTGGGGTATGCTCTGGAGGTTGGGCACTCCAGAAAAAATTCTTTGGGAATATTCTGTGGTTGGGCGCTCCAGGGATTCGTTTAAAAACAGTCAGGGGTTGGGCACTCCATGGGGATACTGTGGCGTTTGCTTGGCACTCCAATAAAATCTGGGGTTGGGCACTCCCCGGATTTGCTGGGGAGACGGGTTGGGGATGGCGACGAGTAGGCCGGGAGAAGAGAAGAGTTTAGTTTAAAGTCAAACAACCCCACGCCAAGGGTGGGGCATGATGCTGCAGGCTGCCTCCACCTTGATCTTTGGCAAGGTTCATTCTTCTTGTGCCACCTGTCATCCAAGCAAGATGTAGGGTCCGAGGGTCCGACACCAAGTGCGTGAAAAGTGTGGGTGCACACGTTATCCAGAGGAGCCATGTACCTTTCTCGAGCTACCTGCTTATGTTGTCCAAGCGCTGATGTACGTAGGCTTGTTCTTGGCCTTCACCAACCCCCCCTCCAACATGTCTTGCAACATGCTTCGCCTCAGAACCCCAAGCTAAGCCCGCACACGCAATGCAAACATGTCCGTGATCCATATTCCAAACATATTTCGAGATGTCATGAGCTGACAATTCCGGCCTTGTCGGAATGTCTGGCGACAACGGTGCCTCTGTCCATGCAACTCCTTCTTCACCTCCCCACATGCACGCACTGGGGCTCTCTTTCTTCTTCTTGCACTTCATTCTGTCACGCACTCTGCTTTGCTGTTTTGTTTTGTTGGGCCTCGGGGCTGAGGGTAACCTCCGCCGGTGTTCTGCCTTGTCGGTCAGGCCTTTGGTCGGCCCCCGCTCTCATTAGAGAACGCAAGACCGGCAGGTCGCACCTGAGGGCTGCCATGCACAATGGCGACTGGCCGTTCCCTGCCGCTTGGTTGACATCAGCCCGTGCCGCGATCAAGCAGTCTACTGCTTCAGACTGTCCACACGCAGCTGCAACCCACAATGGGGCATCCCCGTGCTGATCTGGACAGTTCGTACTGGCGCCAGCTCTAATCAAGCATCTGGCAGATTGCAGGCTGCCATTGGCAACGGCGCACCACAACGGTGTCTTGCCCTCCATGTTTTGCCAGTCGATGTCAGCCCTTGCTCGGAGGAGCGCTGCAACAATCCGCGAATGGTTGCTTTCCGCCGCGCTGAAGAGTGGATTGGTACATGCTTGTCCAACCACAGGCCTGTCAATGTCGCAAAGAGCTCCAACCAAGCATTCTACGACTGCGAGGTGGCCATGCAATGTTGCCGTTAGAAGCGGGGATTTTCCATCAGAGCCTGACAAGTCCGGACTGGCTCGGGCATGTAGCAAGTGCTGTACCATGCGAGTGTCTCCGTGTGCAGCTGCAGCAATTAGTGGGGTCGCACCACCACCCTCGGCTTCGCCTGGAATGTTCGGGTTTGCAGAAGCCTCAGTCAAAGCAGCAGCGATCTGTAAACGGCGACGATCAGCGGCAATCAGCAGGGGTGTCACGCCCTCTTTGCCCGGCAAGTTCGGATCCTGCCCCTCCGAGAGAAGCTGCTGGACATTCTCCAATTTGCCTCGAGCACATGCAATTGTCGAAGAGTACCACAGCAAACAGAAAAACCTGTATGAAAATACTGAAGCTTGATGTGTAAATGGCGTGGCACCCAATGCAACGGCAGCGTGAAGCTCTCCAATTTTGTCTTGACGCAATGGCATGATAACCATCTGCAGATTCACAGGCAGAGCAGAATCATCCCAGGGGCATGTCGGCAGACAGACCTGGCAAGTGTCTCAGATCTGCGTAGACAGAATATGTAGCCCCGCTCCCGTTGCTCTAGACTTTTTTAAGACTGCATTGCCTTGAATAGATGTGGCTGCTACATGTTCGCCTTCTTCTGGAAAGTCGACGACAACATGCGACAAACACACAGATTGCCAACTGCTTCTGCGACACCTCTGCTTCGCCCCAGAAAAGCCGCTGCCGAACGGAAGGAATTCCCGTCCTGGTGTACAACCACGGAGGACTCTGTCGCATCCCACTGCGTTGGTTAAGGAAGGACGTTTGGGATTGCAAGGACGGTGGCCCAATGATACCAAGCATCTTTAGCTGCAAGTGGGTCTTCAATCCAGCAGCGAAGTCTGCACTGATGGCTTGAAGTATCTTGTCCGGAGCTGTTGCCAGCAGATTGCCGGACAATCCGAAAACGTGAAGGCTGCCAGCAGCTTCCATCAACCCCCTCGCTTTCAAATGGTGACGTGCAGTATGACACCGTCAAACAACTGCAAGAGGTTTGGCATGATTCAAGATCCTACAAAGCATCCGGCAACTTTGTGGGCCTGAAGCTAATGCTTGTACTATACAGACCATTTCCAACCCATGTATCGTCTCTTCATAAGCCATCGTCACATGCTCATGTGGATCGCCTTAAGCCGGCATGTGTCGACATAGCTGCGAGGAGATGTAACAGCCAATGTAACTTGTCCAAAGCAGCAGGCATGCGTACACAGACCTCCTGTACCACTCGTGACTGAAGCACTCTTTTCCCGCACATCAGGGAAAAACTAGCAGATGCTTAGCATGAAACGGATGTTTGGCTCGTCATGGCTGTGAAGCTCTATGACTCTTTACCCATCTTGAACGGCTTCGTACGGATGCAGCATCTTCAAGCAGCCCCATGTGCTGACGACTGCGACAACAGCATGCAACAACCATGTGCTCAACCAGTGCAAAAAGTGAAGTTCTGCCAGTGGAGCTTGCTGATATTTGCTGAATGGACATCCGACGGGAAAGCCAAGGGCATGCAGTGCGCTCGGAAGAGCTCGTGCAAGTTTGTGCACAGAGGGAACCAGTCTGCAAAATTGCAGTCCAAGTCGGACTGCCATGAACGACTTGCTAGGTAGCTCGTGCTACCATTCCTATTTAAATTGTGGCGCGCATTGTCGTTGACCAAACGATTTTGAGTCACAGCTGACATGTGCGTGCACAATGTGTCTCATGCTGCGCTCTGCACTCAGATTCTCAGTTTCATGGTGCTGCACCAGGAGTAAAGGTCTGCAAGTGTGTCATATGTCGGGGGTGTAAGGGGGTAGCTTCATGTGTCTTGATCTCATATTCCTGCTCTGACCCACTCCTGTTTGAAAGGCGCGCGCCAAACCTGAAAAGCGAGCTGTGCAGCTTCCACACTATTGCCGTCATCTGCGCGAGGACACCGCAGGCCTGCAAGATTGAATGCCCCCTCTCAATGGGTTTTACATCATGCATCTACTTCTTTCCAAGTTCGCTGGCCGATGGTTCTGGATGCAAAGCTGTACTCAGTTGAATACGAGGACACGCCCGTTTTTTTGCGAACCAGATGAACCAGAGGTTGATGCGACAAGTAATATGGTCCTGACAACTTCAGCCACCTATGGGAGTACATTGAGACATACTAAAACCATCTTCTTGCGTTCGCATCTTCTCGAGGCACACCCACCAAGTGTTGTCACGCGTCCGCTTGCGGTACTAGTACGACTCTTATGTTGTTTGTTCGACTGCGCAGTCACGGAAGAATTTTCATTTCATGAATTGTCTTCACTCATGATGCACTCATCTTGGAACCGGTGAGGTCATCTAGCTACGTGCAAGTCGCTTGCGAAGCGAGTAGTGTAAAGCGCGTGCAAAGATGTACAAAGACATGACCACGTGCATGGCTTCGGTTGCTCCAAGGTTGTCTACCCTAAGTATGTTTGAGCATGTTTGCCCAGGCGTCGACGTCCTGCTTTGCATCTTCGGAGTCTTGAATTCCAGTTTCATTTTTGCTCCAAGGTCTCTTGATTGTGAGATGTTCCCTCTGACAAGCCGGAGCGCAGGCTAATGCAGGCGTTAGCTTGCTCGCCTCATTGCAGTTGCCCGCTGCAAGGCGGTCGGAGTCTGACCTGACCTCAGGACTGAAAGTGCAGCGTCTGGCCCCTCCCTGTGTGTCGCCACCAGTCGACTGATGGGCTCGGATTAGAGAGGCTGAGGTCTTATGATGTCCTCATGACTGATTTGGCTAAGGCATTTTGCAGCTGGGGTCCTATTTGGGCTGCTGATTCGCAGCCAAGGGTGCACCGAGTCTTAGGGGGGCTGGGGTCGTAGTTTACCATGTGGTGTACACTCCTGGCTGGGACCCTTTTTTCTAAGTCACACGTGTACCCCGAGCTACACCTGATTTTGTAGTGCGGGCCCTGCTGCCGTAAAGAGTAAGGCCGTCACTGTGCGATCCGTGCAAAGGCCTCGGACTGCTTGCCAGTGTCCAGGCCATTGCTGGCATCCGGCTGCAGTCCTCTGGTGAACTGCAGCTGACATTTGCAACTGGATGTGGGTATCGCAAATAAATCACCGGGTGCACAATCAACAAGCCAGCAACAGCACCAGCTGGGCTTCATAGTGCCCCTAAATCTCCCAGAGCAAGTCTTGACCAGCACACTCCCCCACTTTGCAGCTGTCCGCGAAGATTGCCGCACTGTGGCCAGGCAAAGGCCCTTGGCAAATCCCGGCATCGGCCCGTGACAAACAAGAAGCGCTACTTTTGTCGCCAAATGGGCCCCGTGATGCCAGAGCGCGCCATTGAAATTTAGATGCAGTTGAATGACATGTTCATGGTATCTTCACAGATAACTAGAAGCAAGACGAGTGCAAACCCTGGCGGCCTCACTACACAAACACATCCCCGCTCTCTGCTTGCCAAGTTTCGCGGTTGAACCTCGCTGCAAAATGCTGCAAACAAGGTAAACATGAGGGAACGTTCGCGCGGTTTGTTCCTCCTCCTGAAAGAGCATGACGCATGCTGGTACGTGTCGTGAGCAAGAATCTCAGATGCAAGGCTCTGAGATGCTCCGAGCCACAGGCATACAGAAAGGACCACATCATGACGTTGGCAAGAATGACGTAGCGGCAACCTGGCCAGCACTTTTCAGAGTTTCTAGCATTCCCCCACTTGACGTTGGAGCAGTAGCACTGGGTAACTGGACCAATCACACCAATGCCCTGATACGGGAGCCTAGACTCTGCCGAAAGACTCAAGCCCAGTGGCCAAACCCCCCGTACGCACAGCAATCCGGCGTGTATGCCAGTGCACGCTCTCTGAAAGGAAAGTCACATTCACCATGCCAGAGTTCCGCACCAGCTTTTCTCCTGCGGAACTATGTGTGGGGCTTTCCTCCATCTTCCAACAGGCCGCTCAGGAGAAGGCTGAGGTTGATCGATGTGGCCCTGCACCGGCGACGAGTACCATCAACATGCTGACATCTCTGCTGACCAAAGCCCAGTCTAAGCTGAGCACTGCATGAACAGAATCTGAGTGGGCTGGTTCTGAATGTCCAGCCACAGCCACGCCGCCGCCTGCAATACAACATGGAATTAGAGGCCGTTTGACTAACAAAGCCTGAACCCGGAGTCTCGAGTTCTGTTCTCAAGTTGCCAAAACGGCCTATGGCAAGATGGCCAAACAAGCACTCAGGTGTATCAGCGAGTTGAGCATCAACCAGTCATCAAACCATCCCGTTCCCGATGTTGTGGCAAACTTGGTTTGGCTGGCAACTCCTGACTGCCTTCGCAGTCTTCCGTCCAGCTGTAGGCAGCAGCTTGATCTCCACCCTCATTTCAACTTGCTGATGTTATCTGATATCTATGTGGCTACATGCTGGACAACAGATCGCGACACCAGCTCTCAGCAGCTGCGCGGCCAAGATTGCTGTAAATTGCTTTCGAAAGTAGTTGCTGGCATGCTTAGATTGTACTGCAGCTCTCAGTCCAACTGAACGGTCGGCAACGCTACGAGTATGCTCAAGGAGCAACATTCCACAAATGTCTGGGGATGCACACTGGCCTTCATGACTTCTGCGTCTGCATGGAGCTGCAGCGTGAACTGCACACGCTCAGGAAGCAACTCCTGCGCATGTGCTTTGCAGGAGAATACGTAGAACAGTCGTAGAACGCATGACTAATGGTTAGGCGATGATCCTCACCTCATCGCGAGGCTGCGCATAGAGCCACTTCTCGCGGAGGGGCCCACCCAAAGCAATCAGCAAACCTGCAGTGAGCAAAGGAGCACCCATCAACAATTCGTAAAAACTCGTAACGGTTCAATTACCCCCGCCCCCCCCCCCCGCCCCTGGCCGACAAACAAAGTGACACCATACCCGTTCTGGCAACATGTCGCGCTTTTCAGAATATGGCAGGGTTCCATGACGTCGTACGGCGCATGCTAACTTGAAGCAAAATGCCTTCTTCGAGCGGGATGTTGACAGAGGCAACTTCACGTCGGCCTCGACCATAGTACCAGGGAATGCCATGGATGTGGTACCTGGGCTTCACAGCAGCTCTTTCTGCACGAGCAAATTCGTGGATCCGTGCTTTCCATCGACATTCCATTTACATTCAGGATTCCAAGCGCAGCGATCATCAACAAAAGCTCAATGACAGGTTGAGAACGGTTGAAGCAAGCCGCACTCGCGTCGCGCCAACAGCCATGAGAGCAATGACGGTGTCATGTCCCCATCCACAATGAGTGGCGTACGTGTGTGGTCCATCTTTCAGGTGGATACCTGCCCACATCCATCCAGCCCTACATGCTCTAAGTCTCAATTCTCGCACAGGATCTGGGCGACTCTGCCAACTTTTGCACCAGATGGGCCCAAATGACACATTTTGATTAAAAACCGCGGCGAATCTGCAAAATGGTGCTCCAAATTCTGCTAAGAGATTGCGTCAGCAGCCCCGTGCCTGGTGGCTCCCATCTGCACATGATGCCATTTAATGGTGAGGAGATTGCCTCTGCAGCGCGCATGAGGGTCTCCTGCAGTCCGGATGGCAAGGGAATCTGGAGAGTTGATTCGTCCATGCCGGATGGTCCTGGTGTCAAGCCTTGAACCACGCCTTGAAGCGTGACAAATTCGGATGGTCCTGGGTGCCAAGCCTTGAACCACGCCTTGAAGCGTGACAAATTCAAAAATTCCAAAACAAATGATTTCATGTTTGGAACCCCGTCCTCTAGCTTGCCAGACAACTTTTGTCCAACATGTACGCGAGGTGGCGCAACCTGGTCTCTGCTGGCATGTGAGGCATGTGTCCACAGCTCAAGGGACTAGAGGAGGAACCCTTATAAGGGACCTTAGGGGTTCTTTGATGTTATTTAGGGGTTATTTGGGGGCTGCTTAGGTATATAGGGACTATATAGGGTATATATAGGGCTTATGTGGGGGAACAAGATTCTTATACC